AGGAATTGAGTGCTCATGAGCGAGAAGCTAGGTGAATCTCAGCGGTTGTTGGCTGAGATCTGTTGGCTAAGGTACATTGAGGTGTGGAATGGTAGGAGACCCCTGTGAAGAGCAACTTGAGATTTTGGCTGTGGGAAGGAGCATTTTGAGCACTGGCATTTTGATTTCTCTCCCAACATTCAGTGGATTATCATAGGGACATTTCTGGATGTACCGGGGAGGGGGGTTGGTGTATCAGTGGACAAAGACAGCAGTACAGATTAGAAGTACACCACAAATAGAAAGTAGTTTCACAACACCATAAGTACGACTCACAAGAAATTCCCACTTTCTCAATTGGACCTTCATTTTAAAAATACATTTCATTGCCTACTCCAGCCAGAATAAGATATGATGAGGATGGATGGATGGATGGATGGATGGATGGATGGATGGATGGATAATAAACATTTGAATCCTGGCAGTTTAAAAAAATGCAAAAATCATCCCATTCGTTTTGCCACAAGAATTGCCTTTCTCATGCCAACAGAAAGACTGTCAGCATACTTAAGCAGCCTCATTCCGGGAATACCCACGAGCGGGACCAGCCTGTCATCCTTAGCTCTGACTGCTGACATGAATGAGCAAGAGGAGCACAGTTTTTAGTGCAGAGTTGGCACAAAATGGAAGCCGCTAGATTTGAGTCCAGGAGCACTTAGGAGCCCAACAAGGTTTTCGGGGCAGGGGCTTTTGAGAGTCAAAGCTCTCTTTGAGTATCGAAAGCTCCTACCCCGAAAACCTTGTTGGGCTCCTAGGTGCTCCTGGACTCAAATCTAGCTGTTCTACTGCAGGCCAACATGGCTACTTTCTGAAACTACAAAATGGAAGGCTCTGGTCCCTCCTCAGCCTCACCTCGAAAAGCCCACCGGGGGGGGTATTTTTAAGCATCAGCTTTGAAAGCTGGCATGTGCAGAGTTACAAGAACAGAGACTCTCTGAGTATACGCAGTGTGCATTTCTTACCTAATGCAGCCAGAGGGCCATATTGGTTAGAGTGTCCGACTAGGTTCTCCAAGACCCAGCTCCCAACCTCCACTCTGTAAGGAAAGCTTTCTGGGTGGCATTGGACCAGTCACACATCCTCAATCTGGCCTACGTCATGGAGTTGATGTGAGGATAAAATGGAAGAGCTGCTTTGGGCCCCCATTAGGGAGGAAGGTGGGGTAGAAACGAAGTGAATAAACCCAACTCCCCATGCCGAAGATGGAGACTGAAGGGCTACATCAAAAGTGTTCTATCCTGGCAGGAGAGACTTCAGTCCCAGCATGTATGGGGAGGGGGCGAGAGAGTCGTGCCACATGAGCTGGGGTCAATGGTTCCAAACTTAATTCCTGCTCACATCTGGAACCTTAAAAGCTCCCCACAACTGTGACTTTTCCAAGGTACAAACTTGTGCCAGCTATCAGTGAAAAAACTGTGGCTCTCCTAGGTAGATTGGGACTATTAAAGAGCATGCATTTTATTTTGTTTTGTCACCAACTTGCCACAATGCTGGGCAGGATGTACAGGGATGAGCTCACAGGGCCTAGCAGTCTGTGATCTGGCCAGGCGGTGGCCATGTGAGTAGCACATTATGGCCAACACTAGCTTCCTTCATTCATGGATGTGAGGATTTTGTTTTATTGGTTATTTTTAACTGTTTTAATAGATTTAAATACTGATATATTTATATCATGTTTATTTTTGCCACCCACTTTGAGTCTTGACCATTTTCAGAGAAAGACGGGACGATAAATGCCCCGATCATGGTATTAAATGCCTGCAGCCATGCTTAACAGCCAGAGGGCTTGCTTGGATCCCTATTCTTTTTTTTAAACAGAAACTGTGAAGATATAGGCTGTGAATATGAAACCCTGCAGGACTTGCTGTTACCCATATGCGCTGTGCTTTCCATGAAGTATAGTATTTAAAACCCAGAAAGTTAATACTGTAAAAAGGGTGAAGCCTATAGAATATGATTAATTTGTACAACTTCTCTAATAAAAAGAGTAGTCTTTGTTGTGTCAAGTTCACGCACAACTTAAAAGGGGAGAGCTACATTAACGTGCTGCCTGCAAAAGTCAGCCCTTAAAATTGCAGACAAAGAGCTTCTGCTAGCAAGAATATGACATCATCAAAGCCTCCTACGGACACTCAGAAATAAGCTGTACTTCTGTATGGCAGTGAAGCAGCAAATTGAATTCTCATAATATGTTTTGAAAATGAGTCTTGTTAGGTTTGATGAGGTGGAAAAGGTACTGAATTCACTGGTTTGTTCCAATACATTCAGTACACTTTAGCTGGCTGTTTGCCATGGCTAATCTTTTTAATGGCAGTGTCGCTTGTAAACTCATTTGGTAGAGAGCTATGCATCTCAGTTTTATAATATCACACCAAGTAGGGTGGTAAATAAGTTTCTCTTCAAGCATGAAGGCATTTTCTGTTTCAAGCCCACAAATCTTATTTTAAAACTCCTCATCTTGAAAGCCCCCAATGATTCCTTTTTGAAATCTGCAATAAGAAAAATGGATTTCAGTCCACTTTTTATATTTATGTACTTATTGTTTTTGTTTCCCAAAACACATCCTTCCCACATTCTAGCCTTTCACTGGCTAATAAATAATAAAACAGGATTTCCCAAATCCAAAGACTTCTGTGGATTACACTATGCACTCTCCACCTGGCTGCTCATCTCTGAATGAATGGAGTTTGCGGAAATTTCCTTCATCAGCATAAGCCATTCTCTTGATAACCAAGAGAGAATGAAAACACATGAAAAATAAACAAAGAGAGTTTCCCCCCATATGTATCTGCCTCAGTTTTCTCTCCTTAAGGGCTAAAGCCACTTTGGCTCCCAAAATTAGTCCCAGATAGCTGCCCCCTCACAAAATAAGTTAAAAAGGCAAATAGGGTAAACCTATTCCTGCCCATGATCACTAGCAGAGAGTTATGCCCTATCAGATGTAACATCAGGTCATGGAATGCAAATCAGCTTAGGGCCTCCTTAGCCAGTAATTCAGCACTGCATCAGAAAAATAAAAATTAATACTATGGCATTGCTACTGAACAGGAATTGATGAAAGCGGGCATCCTGAAAAACATAAGCATTCCGTCCACATCAGTACATGGATCCCACCAGGCAAACCTCATGGCCAGTGTACCATCCCTAGAACTAGATGGGTAGCCATCTTAGTCTGTCTGTAGCAGTAGAAAAGAGCAAGAGTCCAGTAGCACCTTAAAGACTAAAAAAATATGTGGCAGGGTAAGAACTTTCATGAGTCAATTCAGATATCTGAAGAAGTGAGCAGTGACTCACGATAGGTCCTTTTGTTGTTGTTCAGTCGCACAGTCGAGTCCGACTCTTCGCGACCCCATGGACCAGATCACGCCAGGCCTTCCGATCTTCCGCCGTCCTCTGAAGTTTGCTCAACTTCATGTTCATTACATCTATGACACTGTCTAACCATCTCATCCTTTGCCGTCCCCATCTTCTTTGACCTTCAATCTTTCCCAGCATCAGGGTCTTCTCCAGTGAGTGCTCCTTTCACATTTGGTGGCCTACCCTGCCATATATTTTGTTAGTCTTTAAGGTGCTGCTGGACTCTTGCTCATCCCTAAAACTGTTGTTGTCTGCATAATGGAGGACAGGGACCAACATCAGCCTGAGATCTGATGTATGTTATTGGGACTATGTGTCCTAAATTAGTAGTGAATCTAATTTCCAAAAGAGAACCATGTAAATATGTATTTTGTTGAAAACGTTACAGAAAGTGAATGTAATATTAGAGCCTTTTTACCCAGTATTCTACATGTTTTAAGTATATACACAAAAAATGTAAATTCTGGATATGGCACATACATCATTCAGGCATGATCAAGAAGGATTCATGATTTATTGAGTTTATACTGGGTTGGAAACTCAAGTTACATAATGTGTGTGTGTATCACATGTCCATAAAGTTGAATGAAAAGCATCCATTATTAGATAAGCGAGTTGGAGTTCTAAGTCAAGCAGACCCTGCAGTGTTACCAGGGCAGTGGCCCATCAAGAACCTTGCCAGTAAGTTAATGGGCCACTTAGGGTTATCAACCTGCAGGTGGGACCTGGAGATCTCCTAGTATTACAACTGATCTTCAGATGACAGAGATCAGTTCCCCTGGAGAAAATGGCTGCTTTGGAGGGTGGACTGTCTGACATTATACTCGCTGCAGTCCCTCACCGAACCCTGCCCTCCCCATGCTCCTCCCCAAAAATCTCCAGGAATTTACTAACCTGGAGTTGACAATTCTAGGACCAATCCATCCACGAGCCATTTGCTATATTCTTGAGAGTCCTCAATAAATCTGCAGGATCATACCTTAACTATGGGAATTACTGATGGGTAAGAACTACATTGAAGGAGCTGCGGTGGCTCAAGTGGTTAAGACGCTGAACTGCAGGCTGTGGAAGGTCGGTAGTTCAGCAGTTCGAGACCCGAGTGTGCCGCATGACGGAGGGAGCTCCCGTCTCTAGCTCCAGCTCCTGCCAACCTAGCAGTTCGAAAGCAAGAAACTGCAAGTAGATAAATAGGTACCACTTCGGTGAGAAGGTAACAGAGTTCCGTGCGCCTTGGTGTTTAGTCATGCTGGCCACATGACCACAGAAATGTCTTCGGACAGCGCTGGCTCTTCGGCTTTGAAACGGAGATGAGCACCACAACCCTAGAGTCGGATTCGACTGGCTTTCGAGCAAGGGAACCTTTACCTTTACGTTAAGAACTACATTTATATGGTAATCAACATTATATTGTAATCTTGTGTGCAAGGCCTGTTTTGTACAGCATGGAGAAATTTTAGGTGGTCTATAAATAACAATAATTAAACATCTAATTTTTATGGGGAAAAACTGAATTTAATAGAATCAATGACTGACAAGTCCTCTTTGCAATAATTTTAAATTGGTTGCTCATAGATGTTACATTTACTTTTTTTCCCTTCCCCCAGCTATCCATATAGTGAAGATTGTAGCCAGGGAATGCAGTACATGAACACTAGATGTCCAGCTTGGTGTGACAGGATCTTGATGTCACATTCTGCCAAAGAGTTGATTCTAAAGGTAAGAACAGCCTGAAAACTGAAATGGGAGGAAGCAAGAAAGCTAATACAGTCTGATTGCAGACCATTATTATAATATTATTATTATTGTGGTTGTTGTTTTTATTATTATTATTTTGGTGGTGGTGCTGGTGCTGGTGGTTAAAGGTTTCTGGTCCTCGTCATTTACTAAAAGATAAAGTGGAGAGTGGAGAGGTTTTGTTTTTTTGTAGAATTCTGGAACTAGTTGTTAAAATACCCTGGACCTAGTTTAGTCAAACTAGAAATCTAATAAATCACTTGATGTATGTGGGAGATTCACCAGTTACACACACACACACACACACACACACTATGGTACCACACAAATGCTCCCTGAAATGCTGTTGCAGGAGGCAAGGGACCCCCAGAAATAGTTTGGGGAGCGGATCATAGGTCTCCTACAGAAGGGAAGGGTAAGCAGAAACTCACACACATACACACACACACACTAGAAGAAATCTATGTGGGATCTAAGCCAGTTACTCACTTAAAGAACGTATTTTCTACTCTTAAATTCTCAGATTCAAATTCAGTGATTATCAAATGCTGAAATTATAGCTTGTATTTACCTGGTATGCTTCATCTGTAACCTTTAGAGAGTGTTTACAATAGGTAGCCACTTGTTAATCATTCAGTCCCAATTCCAGGGTTGATTATTTATTTATTTATTTATTTAAATGTTGATATCCCGCCTTTCCTCATCCCTCAGGGCAATTTACAAGTCATAATTAAAAACATCATTAAAAACATAATAAAACCCCAAATAACCCTCTCCTCCCAAGAAACCCCCCTAGTCGATTGCTGTGTTTGCTTAGGAGGTCATCCCTGTTCAGTTCTGTGGGTGGAACAACAGAACAGAAATACCATTAGTGGGCTGCGAGAAAGATTAACTATGATAAAGAATTTAGAAGGTTGTTTTTTTTCCTCTTAACTATTTATGGCTCTCTTAGCCAATCGGGAGAGATCCATGTCTTGTTACCTGAATTCATTCATTGTGCCTCAGAACTCCACATCACTCCTGCTTATTATCTAGAGATTTTGAATGTCCTCAGGCTATTCAGATAAATGAGGTTGTACTGCATTTTAATTAATTAACTTAAAGAGTTAATTTCCTTTATTTCAGTGTTCCATTCACAAGCCTGATTTGACAGGGTGTGGATGCAGCACAGATGCTGTCCAATTATTCTTTTCAAAAAAAACCCACACCCCCGACATATCCTGGGGCCAGGCCAAACTATAAGCAACAGCTAGCTGATGGGAAGTGCTGTTATACATACCTGATCTTGGTATTGCCATATGGGCTGCTTTCCAAAGAGAAGCATTTATAGAGTACTAGATAACCACTTCCCAACAATCACTATCCATGTACTTCAGCACTCTCTGGTGTGTGCATTCTGGTACTAACTGCCTCTCTTCTGCGTCCAGGGCCATACCTGTACATTACTAATGTAATTTATTATTGTGTAGATATTCCTGTAAGAGTGCCTAGATCTTGAGGCATTTTATACACAATAAATGTTATCTTTGTGTTGCTAAAACTGCCATACAGAGAGAGTTTTAAAAGCAGCATTTTTCAGTTCTTAGTTCAACTCTCCATACTCATTTGAGGATACGTTCATATGACAGGAGAGAGGGCGTGGCTCAATGGTTAGAGCATCTGCTTGGCATGCAAAAGATCCCAGGTTCAATCCCTGGCATCTCCAGTTAAAAGGACCAGGTAGTAGATGATGGGAAAGACTTCTGGAGAGCCACTGCCAGCCTGTGCTGACTCTGATGACCAATGGTCTGATTCGATATAAAACAGCTACATGTGATCATCTGACATGCACAGGTTTCATCTTGATCTGCCCTGAAGTATCTTCTAAAAGTAGATTGTGAACTGGGAGGTGGTGAGTCACCCTCTGGCCATGTTTTTTGGGGAAATCAGTGCAGCACAGAAAAACGTCATTTCGGGTCAACTTCACCATGTATACAGTGGTTATGTAGGGAGAGGGGGATATAGCTCAGTGGCAGAGCCGCTGATTTCTCTGCAGAAGATCCCATGTTCAATCCCCAGCATTTCTAGTTTAAAAGATTTGGTTGTAGATTATGTGAAACACCTCTACCTGGGACCGTGGAGAGCTCCTGCCAGTCAGAGTAGACAACACGGAGTTTGATAGACCCTAGCTCAGTATAAAGCAGCTTCCTGTATTCATATGACTCAACCCTGATGTTGCCATTTAGACTGGAGAACTGAACAAGCAAATTATCCAGGTTACCCTACATTTCTGACTACTTGCTGCCCTTCAGAAATAGACAATATCTACAGCACAGAGCTGTTCACATTATGCTAGAAGGGCTCAGGTTGTATGCCAAATTAGGAGTTTCTCCCATCCAACACAGTCTGGTACTCTGCCCACATCATATGGAAGTACTGAGGACAAGCGCTCATATCAACATCTCCACTTTAATTCAGATTTCTCTTGAGCGGGAAGGAGTTGACTGGAGTCAAACAGATACTTCTGTAACATAGACACCACTGACAATTTACTCTTCAAGATGAAGACCCAAGATCTTCCAATACGAAGTCTCCCTTTAGTAGTTCTAGATAACTATCTAATTGGAATCATTAGTCATTTTAAGTCATTGGTTATTTTAAATGACCCTTTTGTTCCCTTTCCTTCTTCCCTTTATTTTTGAGTTAATAAAAATGCCTGAATGACAGCTGTTATGGTGTGGCTCCTACCACATGAGCAGCATGGACGCCATTGTTCCCTTTTCATGCCAGACTGGACAACACTGGGATGGGGAAGCAACCATCATCCGCTTCCTTCATGCCTTACCAGTGCAACCTTCTCCCCACCCCCAGCTTAACTGTTGCTGCTGTTGAACGAACTGGGCCTTCCCGTGACTGCTCACCGTTTTTCTTTCGTCAGCCATATTTAGCTGATGATAAATGCAGGAGTTTTGGAGCATGTTGTTTGGTTACAATCAAAACAAAACTATATAGATGCTAGTCCAGTGGGTAGAGAGCAGCTTGCCTTTGGCAAACATGCAGTTCCTTTCTACGGGGCAATTATTTATTTATTTACTGCAGTTATATGCCATCTTTCTCCCTCATGGGGACCTAAAGTAGCTTACATCATTCATTCTCCTCCCCTACAATGCTCCCTCTAAGCTATGGAGCCTTGTGAGCAGAAATTCTACTTTGTGAGCGACAGGCATGAAAGTTGTGAGCAAGCCATTCGGCTGCTGCATAAATTAGGTTGCTCTGGAGCCATCTTTCCTGGGCGAAGACAAAAATGTGTGAGCTGGAGGCTAAGAAAACTGTGAGCTAGCTCACACTAACTCAGCTCTGAATACTGGCTGAGAGGACTAAGGTCATCCAGCAAGCTTCCATGGCAGGCTAGGAGATGTGAACCTCTGTCTCCCGGATCCTAGTTCGACCCTCTAACCCCTGCACCACACTGACTCTCATAACTGGGTGGTGCTAGGTAAGCAAGGTGGCCATTGTTTTTCCGACAGGGGTCCCGTTGCTTTAACAGCTTCAGGGAAAGAAGAACATAAAGCTTTTTCTACCCATCATTAGTCTAAAAGAAGTTCCACCTGGTCAGTTCCCTCAAGAATGGGCAGCTGTTGGAAGTCCAGTCAAAACAAAAGTTGGCAACCCTGTCTCTTGGCCTCCCATCTATAAAATGGGAGCGTCCACCCAGGGTACTTTGCAGGGCCCAAACAAATGTGTAAGAGTGCAATATAAAAGTCACAGATTAAATTTTAGCCTGCCAGGTTGGGCTCCTTTGTTTGTCGAGGGGCGAGGGCTGTTAGCTGTGCCCAAATTAGCAGACAGCCCCGCACACCAGGTTCTGCGCACTCTGCTTTGCAGATTGTACAGACATGGGGCTGTAAACAGCTTTAGCACCACCTCATCTATCATTCCATGGTCGGTTACCTCCCCAGCATGTTATTTTATGCTTGCTGAGCCCTAACACACCAAAGGTTGCCACTGCACGGGAGTCACAGAGCTGCCTGAGAGCATAGCATAATGAATGCTCAGCTGAGTGGAGCGTGTTTCTGTTCGTGCGCTGCTGTAATTTGTTTATCTGTCTAAAGATTATGCACTTGAAAATCCACAATTTGATGCTGCCTTTGTAAATTATCAAGTCGCTTTTGATGAATGTATCTCCACTTCCGCTGGCAGTGGCATTATGAGCTTGAGATATTGGAAAGTGTTCATGCATATAATGCAGAAGGTTAAGCTTTTTCATATGTGTCTTTCTCTCTATGTGTGTGTATATAGAGAGATAGATAGATGGAGAGATATACATAGATATATTGCTAGGCAAGCATACTAGAAAGCAAATATGACCTTATGCTTCCTTACTGCATTAAAGATAATTCAATTTTAACTTTATAGTCCCAAATACGGCTGTTTATATAGAAAGTTCTTGCCCAGTCAAACTTGACTGATTACAGATGAGCAAAAACTTGACTGTTTTTCCTCTGAAATAAATGAGGATGGGAAAGTATGCGGGAGTGCAGCTGGCGTTTGTGAGCGTGTATGAAGATCTGGGGGAGGTGGGTGTGGGTTCCAGATTTAATTATCCCGCAGTTTAACCAGCTTGAGAAATTGCAAGTCAGAGTCTCTCTCTCGCTCTCTCTTAAGTGATTGCTTTAGCAGGGTCATTATGCCAGATAAACAAAGCAGACGGTCATCTGTGGTCGATGCTGTGTCGATTTCATTATTTGTTTGAAGAAGGGAAGAGAAAAGAAATCAAGTGTGAGCATAGGACAGAGTAGAAATAATTCACAGGCTTGCAGGGGGGAGAAAAGTAGATCATTCATCCAATGCTTCTTTTGAAGTTGGTATAAAAATCCAAAATCCCATCTAAGTTGATGACAAAACTCCCCATTTATCTAAGTTGATGACAAAACTCCCCATGGTTCCTTCCACCCTTCATTCCAAAACTCACTTCAAGCACTGTGTGCCTTATTGAAATCAAGGGGACTTCTATTTCCTAATAAATATGCTTAAAATTCAGGGTTGGGGTGGACTGAGGGAGGAAGATAAATAGCTTCCTATAAGTGACAATTTGGGACATATTCCCCCCCCCCCCCAGTTCTTTGTGAACTCACCTTAAACTTCTCAGTTTGTTCAGTGTTTTCACTTTCTGAGCAGCAGCAGGGCCTAATGAGATCTAAACGGCGTAGATATCAAATCTGGTAATAGGGTTAGGGCTGAAAGCATTAATCACTGGATCAGGATGGCTAATCGATTAAGGCCTGTAATCGTGGGTTTGAAAATATGAGCTTAAACACTGGGAGGACTGACAAGTGTTTTCAGCAGAGAACACCAGCCCAAGTACATCTCTCAATATACTCTCTGCATTGAGCACCCCTGATTCTAGTGGCATTGAATAAAATGAGATTCCCTACAGTGGGAAGGTGTTAAGACCAAAGCCCCCCAGGAAGTCATTCGGCTGGAATTCAATGGGCAACTAATTTAAGACAAACCACCTCCCTTCATTAAAAGCAGGAGGTGAGAATTGCCTACACTGCCATCTTGGCATTTATTGTAATTGGTTAATTAATTGGCCAGTGAACACCAAGCTAGTTAATTGATTAGCTGCTTTAATCAGTTGATACCCCCCAGAGCATTTATTAATGGCTGCACCCTAGCCTGTATAAGGGCTTCTCATCACTAGTCTTATTTAGCCGAATTAAACCATTTTTAAAGTCACATGGGAAGAGGGTAAACATATGTTCAACTCCTGCATTGACATAAGGGATCATAATTACCTCTAAGCTTGGATGGTGCCACAAAATATTAATATATTGGTTGGGGGGTGAATTTTCGAGTTCATTTGCTATGCAATAAAAATCTTCTGGTTGTTTAAGAATCAATGAAAAGATTTTTGTATTGAACATTTTTGGGGACGATGTTCAAAAACTTTCGTGAATGCAGTTTGGTTCCCCCCTTTTTTAACAAACTTAATTCATTGTAAACCCCCAGTGAACACATTGAGTTTTACTTCTGGGTAGACATGCCTAGGCTTGCACTGTTGAACTTCTAGATGGGTCTGCACTGCAGCCTGTTCCTGGTTTACAGATGTTGCACATCCTAACAAAAAGCTGGCCCCTCATCTAGCTGGCCCCCCTCCCTCTATTTGTGGGCCAAGTAATATTTAACTCAAGTAATGATACCCCGTTTCCTTGTTGATTTCCTATTGATTTTAAAGGACTTTTCTTCCTGCTAGAGCTCTGTGTATTAGCGGGAGGGAAAGCCTGGTTAGCCCGACCTCCACCCCCCCTTTCCCTCCCTCCCTCCCCTGTTGCGCGTTCTCCTGGCGGCAAAAGCCATTTACATACCTGCGACTTTGATCTGGGCGCCAGCCTTTCCCAAGGAAACTCCGGACTGACTAGCAGCTTCTGTTTTGTGTTTCCACCTAGTCAGAAAACGACGAGAAGCAAGTGGTGTATGACCATATTGGACCAAACGTCTGCATGGGGGACCACAAGGTAACCTCATTCCGTTCTGGTCGCCCCGCGCGTGTGCGTGTGCGTGTGCGTGTGTGTCTCAGC